ACTGTTGTTGTTACTTGGCACTGTAAAAATAAAATTGAATTGAATCTTGATCTTCAAGGCTTATCTGTATCAGTAGGCCTCAGCTGATGTGGTGTTTATAGAGCTTGTGTTTATGATCACTATGGACCAAATGTTGGACATAGCTGAAAAGTTAAGCACATATAGAATTACCTTTTTATTGACTGAGGTGATGTAGATGGTTACAAAATCTTTGGTACCCATAGCAGTCTGTAGTTATAATTTTGTAGTCCCATAGAAATCTTTCCAGCATGCAAATATCAATGCTCTAATCTTAGAAACCCAAAAACAGATGTAAAAAGATAAATAAACCAAATACAAAAATATCTTAAAAAGTCAAAAACCTGATTGTCCATCACATTTTTATTATGACAATAAAACCTGCAGCTGGTAGTTAAAATCATGCAGTTTGTAGGTGAAAGTGTAAAATATCTCAGTCATAGTGGTAACTGGGATGAGGTCACTTCCAGTTCCATCAATCAAATGTGAAGCCGATTAGCTTCCTTTCACATTATTTTACTGCATAAAACATTCATGTGCCTGGCTGACAGTTGGGTTCCCACTGCAGAAGATCATTTTTTCTTCGTCTTGCTGTGGTTTACACTTACATATCAAACATTTCTTAAAATTCAGTTATTAAGTTATGCAATCTTTAGTTGGATGAACCAGAGGGACGTTTAGTGTATTAACAGCTCACAGGAGACTTTGCTTCTTTAAATCCATGAAGTTCAACTTCTCTCTTAACTGAAATTGAGGTAAAAGCATGACAACAATTAGAATTCATCTTTATTGTTTGAATTTCCATTTGTCAGACTGAAGGAGGTTTTGGACTCTTATTCTGGAACTTTTTACTGAAATTATTTTGGCTAAACTGAATTCATCAAAGTAAGATCTCAAGTAGGGAATTCTTATTTGACTCAACTAGCTTTAGGGAATATTTAGATTCATGTGTGAGAAAACTGGTCCTAACTCCATGATAAAAATGTTCTCCAATATAATAACTAATAGCACGATGTGCATTTTTATTCACAATGTTTACTTACATGTTGGGTTCACCACTCTCTGACGCCGTCATGCTGTTTTCTTGCTGACCTGAGACATGTTTTGGATCCATAAGATTGATACAAGTATACAAATTATTTCAGTAGTACAGGCAGAATGTACTTTTACCTCTTTTCCTTTTGCAGTACAGCACCAGGCAGACTGACGATAGGATGCATACGAGTACTACCACCCCTGCAGTAATTGCTATAATAGTCATGTGTGTTTTTCCTGAAACAGGAAAAGAATCTGATTTTTAAATTTCTCCTGGATGCCTTAATATGTTTATTTTGTTTGTACGTCAAAAAGATTTTAAAAGTTTTGAATGATTCTTGCTTTTGTGGATTAGAAGAATGCAACATAAATTCCTTTACCTTGACTTATTCGAATAATGGTGTAATTAATCAGCATCTCCTCAACATTACTAATCTCACATGTGTATATTCCCTCCTTCTCTGAAGATAAGCCCAGTAATGTGAGGCTTCCTAACTCTGATACAGCCTTCACGTGCTGCTTCCACTCCTTTGAGAC